GAACTTTTTTTGTTAAGCTAATGCTATTTTTTTTTTCTTTTCTTGTCAAACAACATTAGATATGCATAGCTTTAGAAAATGTAACATAATTTAAGATTTTTTATTTCAAATTGTAAAGAAACCTTTAAAAAATTAAATGATATTATTTCCCGAGGAAGCCCTAAAATTTTGCTCAAAAATTAACTCCAAATCAGGCTCCTGATTGCTTAATGCTGCTTCAAGAGTTTCTTTTTCTTCTATTACAATATCAAAGCAGCACAATTTGAGCTAAAAACCACTGATTGTAAAAATGTGCAAAAAGTATCTGAAAATCTTCTTGTATTTTGATGTATTTTATATTTTTATTTTAAATAATTTATTTTTCATTGTTATTTTATTGTTTTTTTGTTTGAATTTTCTTCCTCAATTTCTGTATGTTGAATTGAGTTTAATTTTGCTAGTTGCCCATTATAAAATCTGCTTAATTTCTTTCTTTAGATTTTTTGTCATACTTGCGCATACTTTATTATAGGTAGTGCAATTGCTGTACAATCATCATGTAAATTCAATTTCCTGTGTAAATCTTTTTATGTATGAGATATAAAAACACATTAAGAAAACAACACAACACTATAATCAAAGCAGAGAAAAGCATGGCGCTATCTGGCGGACATAGCTGTACCATAGCTGGCGGAAGCACAGAAACAGGCACATGGCTGCAGTGAAGCTGGCGCTGCTGTTTTGAGGGGTTGGAGGCATGCGCTGCTCTTGATGAAGGGGGTAAAGGGGGCAATAAATCTGCCCCTGTTGACTGGCTCTGAAGGAAAACACAACAAGCATATCAGACAGAAACCTTATATTTTGTATTTAAACTTTTGGTTTCAATGGGAAGTTTTAAAATAAACAAAGAATACATTTTTGCCTGTTCATTGTTTTATCCCAGCAACTACATATGCATTAAACACACACCTGCACAGACACAAATTTGCAAAATATTACTTTATATCGAAACAGATTTTACAAAATACATAAGGTCACCTTTGCTAATGGTCTTCGTCCACTTGGCGTGTGATGGACCGAGCCATATAAGGCTGCAGGCTGCAAAGGAACAAAAAGGAAATGAGGCTTTCATTATGGTATGTGGAAGAATTGAATTTAATATGTGCATAAGGAACGCCCTGCGATGGACTGGCGACCTGTACAGGGTGTACCCCGCCTCTCGCACATAGACAGCTGGAGATAGGCACCAGCAGCCCTCGCGACCCCGCTTGGGATAAACGTGATGGAAAATGGATGGATGGATGGATGTATAAGGAACTTAATTCTGACTTGTGTTCCTGGTGCCACCCCATATGGAATTTGAGCTTTCCTTTATATAATCTTAAAATCCTGGGTATGAAGCAAGAAGCTCCAAAATAATATAAAAAAATGCTGTATTAATATGACAAATAATGCCTCTACAGTAGGCATAACGCCTACTTGAGTTTGCTGATTACTTGCAAAAAGCTTCAGCTTGTGATGCTAATGGTTGAATAAAATAAGTAAGGGTCTCCTTACAGGCTTTCACTTCTGTTTCTTTTTTTTTTTTTTTACAAACAAATCAAAACATTCAGCTTTCCACCTGTGCCCCCAGACTAATAAGTAGTCTATCTTGTTTATTTGAAAAGAGAACAAAACTTTTT